TGTGCGAGCTAGTCGCCATTTCGGCGCTGGAGCCATGGCCTACAATATTGGTTCGCTGCTCATGCGAACGTGTCTGTGAATGCAATTTGCGTGCCGCTGCCTTTGATAGTGCCTGTGACATAGATCGCACTTCCGCGAAACGGGCTCCAAGAAAGACAGACTCTTCGCACCAAACATCAATGTCTTTCGCCAAGGGCGAAGGGATACGGGTGTACTCTGTCTGGGGAGGGACACCCAGCGACCTTTCAGGGCCACGGCAACGGCCTCGGACTGGTCTCCACATGGCCAAAAATATCTGCCCGAGACGACTTCTGCATGGCAGAAGACCGGCCCACGGCCGCTTGCTGACCATCCTCAGGCTGCCACGCGACGTCCCAAGACGGCCCGTAGTCTTCCTCTGACGGCACCACGCCCCCTCGCCCGAAGCTCCTGGACGGCACCCCAAAAAGCCTCACGAGCTCACGAGGAGGAAGGCAGCAGTAGCGCAAACACATGCAAGATCCAGGATTTCGTCATAACTCTTCCCAGGCCTTCCGCCCCAGATACCGTAAACTTGCATCTGGTCGGGACGCCCTGGACGGTGCCTCTATGTCCAGAAGGTCTCCCGAGGTCCCTGAGGTTGCCCAGGGCGGCCCAATACCTCCAAAAGATGGGCCCGTAACCACTCAAAGACGAAGCTCCAAGCCTCCCCCCCTCATCTGGACGGCCTCAAGAAGATGGTCCCAGAAACCACCCCACGGCCCGAATATATACCTACCTATACGACCACCCTTCGGGTGAGAAGGAGGTTCGGGAGGGGGGGGGGGGGGATGAACCAACGTCTCACTCGATCGGTCTCACTATCGATCTTACTATCGATCTCACTATCTGTCTCGCTCGATCGATCTCACTCGATCGATATCACAATCGATCTCACTCGATCTACTTCATTCGATCGATCTCACAATCGATCTTACCATCGATCTCACAATCGATATCACTATCGAACTCACTATCGATCTCACAATCGATCTCACATTCGGTCTCACTATCCATCTCACTATCGATATCACAATCAACGTCATCATCATCAGCATCATCGTCATCAACGTCACCAACATCATCATCAAGACACCATCATCATCACCTCATCACCATCATCATCATCATCATCATCATCAACCTCACCATCACCATCATCGGGGAACTCTCATCGTCACCATCATCATCCTCAACACCATCATCATCGTGACACCATCATCATCGTCATCGTCGGAACACCACCATCATCATCATCTCATCATCATCATGGGCAACGTCATCAACATCATCATCATAATCATCATCATCATCGTGGCACCGTCACAATCACCATCATCATCATCACCATCAGCATCATCATCGGGACACCATCATCATCGTCACGATCATCATCACCATCAGCATCATCACCGAAACACCATCATCATCATCATCAACATCAGCATCAGCATCATCATCATCATCATCATCATCATCATCATCATCATCATCATCATCATCATCATCATCATCATCATCATCATCATTATAGGGCCACCATCATCGAAATCATCATCATCATCTCATCATTTACCTCATTATCAACATCATTATCATCATCGGGACACCATCATCGTCATCATCATCATCAACATCATCATCATTATAGGGCCACCATCATCATCACCATCATCATCAACCTCATCATCATCATCATCATCAACCTCATCATCATCATCTTTATCATCATCATCTCGTCATCTCATCATCAACATAAACACCAACATCATGATCATCATCATCGGGACACCATCATCATCAGCAACATCAGCATCATCAGCATCATCAGCATCATCATCATCATCATCATCATCATCATCGGGACTCCATCATCATCACCACCATGGCGATCATAATCATCAACTTCGTAATATCATCACCATCATCATCTGGACACCATCATCATCACCACAATAACCATCACCATCATCAATATCATCGACATCATCATCATCATCATCATCATCATCATCATCATCTTCATCTTCATCTTCATCTTCATCATCATCATCATCATCATCATCATCATCATCATCATCATCATCATCGGGGTACCGACGGGACACTGGCGGGACACCGCGGGCCACCAGACGCCGGTCCGGAATCATTTGGTCTGGCCGCGCCTCAGCCGGAGGCGGGACACCGGCGGGACACCGCGGGCCACCCGACGCCGGTCCGGAATCATTTGGTCCGGCCGCGCCTCAGCCGGAGGCGGGACACTGGCGGGACACCGCGGGCCGCCCGACGCCGGTCCGGAATCATTTGGCCCGGCCGCGCCTCAGCTACAGGAGACTTTCTTCTCGCCCGCCCACGCAGCTTCGCCTCGCCCGCACGCACGGCACGCACGAACACGAAACCGAAATCGATTTCCTGGTAGGGGGGCTCTCCGTTCCACTTCGATCTCACCCCCTCTCCTCCGGCGACCTTCAAAGGCTGCCAAGAATCCCAGAAGGACCCCGAAGAGGCCCCCTAGAGGCCCCGAAGAGTCCGCGAATGAGCGTCCCGACAGCCATGCAAGGCCACCGCTGTGCTACTCGACAGCGTGGCTGTGGAGCTCCCTCTTGCAGGCCGAGCGCTGGCACGCCTGGTGTTGAATGGCGCGCGAATTGCAAAGTACTCTCCTCCTACTGTTCCTCCGTCTCCAGTTCTTCGCCCTCCGGCTCCTGCTCCTCCGCCGTCTCCAACCTCTCCTCCTCCTTGGAGGTCTCTCATTGTCCCCAGAAATCTCTGGAGGTTTCGGAAGGCCTCTGGAAGCCCCAAACGGCCTAAAGAGGTTGGAACAACATAATCGTCGTGCCTCGATCCCCCTCCTCCTCCTCCTCCTCCCAAGCCTCCTCCTGAACCTCCTCCTCTTGCTCCTCCTGCTCCGACTTATCCCTACCTGGTCCTGCGAATCGCCACTCACGAATCACAACGAATGAAACTAGCACGCCCACATGCCTTCCCCCGCACATGCGCACGTGTGTCCATGCACCTGTGCTCCGCAGGTCAACGCAGCAAGCTATCCCCCTCGCCCTCCTCGTCCTCCTCCTTCTCCTCGCCCTCTTCCTTTCCCGCCTCCTCCGCAAGCGACTCCCGGACCCATTCAAATGGCCTCAAGACCCCCGAGACGCCTGAAGAGAACGGACGATGAGGGTCCCGACAGTCCCCGAAGAAGGCCTCCAAATGGCTCCTAGGAAGGCCTAGGTCCTAGGAGGCGTGGAAGAGCCTATGCAGAAGGTGCACGGGAGTCTGAACACGTTGAAGAGCCATATGTATCCACTTATGCATGTACGCATGAAGATGCGTACATGCATGTGTGTGTTTAACTATTACTTTGTAAATGCATATGCGTATGTGTATGTATATGCATATGTGTGGGTGTATGCGCATGAAAATGTATGTGTGGTTGTATATGTATAGGAATGGGTATATTCATACGTATTTGTCTTTGTATGTTAGCGTATCTCTCTCTATAGATATACACATGCTGCACGTCGTGATTTTGTCGCACCGAAAGGCCGCAAGAAACTCCAAACAATCTCCAATAGTGTAAGCTCCGATGGGCCCCAACATGGCCGCCAACACGACTGGAACTTGCCCTGGACGGCGTGCGGACACCCCAGGACGCCCACAAAACGCCCTCCAAACAGTCCGAATCGAGGCAAAGAAGGCCCCGAGACCTTTCAAATCGGCCCCATGATTGCTCTACCAAACCGCTTCGGGAGAACGCAACAGACCCACAGCTACCCAACCGGTCCAAGAACGAACTTCGGGCTTGCCAGAGGCCCCATCTAAAACTGTCAGCCTCAATGTTAGAGCTATGGTGAACCCATCGTCGAATTACCTCGAACCAGCGCTGGCACTGTGACGTGGTTTACCGCAGACATCTGAATCATTACACGCACTACCATCAGTTGTCGTGTTACGTGTGCCTATATGTTGACTCCCGAGATGGTGCTGGCACTCAGGTCTTTTTACCTGGGAGATCGACCGTTTTTGCGCTGGTGCCTTATGGTTGGGGCCACATGGCTTGCGCTCTGTGGTGCCCGGCTATGGTCGGCCATTCGCGCTTGGTGCTCAACGTTGCCCTACGTGGTCGGTGTCCTGTGATTGGTGCCCTGCTGCGTCCAAGGGTATGGCCCGAGACACATACATGTCGCTCATTTCTAATCGTGCTCAAGACTAATTCAGCTCGTTTCTAATTGTTCCTGGCCCGCCCACTGGCCAGGAAGAGGCCCAGGATAGAAACACTAGAAATGAAAGGATCTTGGCTCCCCAAAGAACCACGTAACGCTCGAATACTTAGAAATGAACAATGCGTACGGTCAGGAAATTTTGCTTGGCGTGTCGCGGCGGCGGCCCTGGTGACATGCGGTGCCACGCGAGCTGATAGCGCGTCGCTCCGCTCTTGGGGGGCGAGAGGCCTGGAGAGGCTCGGGACGTCGACGCCTGGGGACCAAGCTGCGCGGACAGCGCGTCGCGCCGCAGCGAGGTGGGCCAGCACTGGCGGAGCGACACGCCAATCCTCCTCGCCTCCTCGCCTCCTCCTCCTCGCCTCCTCCTCCTCCTCCTCCTCCCCCTCCTCCTCGCCTCCTCCTCCTCATCTTCCACGGCCTCCGTCTCCGCCCACTTCGTCCGACGTGGTGGTCCTCTTCACGGTCGGCGGCACCGGCCATCAGGCCGGCGGCACCTGACCGTAACATGGGGAATGCTAGAACCTACTGTTTGGGGTCCACGCGCTGGCACCCATCGTTTCGCACGGCGTTGATCGTTTGTTTGTTTGCTTCTCCGTGATTGCTCGACAAATTTTCGCCCAACTCTTGGCAATTCACCGCGTGTTCACTGTACTTCAGGGCGGGCCAGCAAAAAAGTAAACAAAAACCAGCCTCACGGGTAAACTCCAACCTAACCTCTTCGGCAAGCAAAGTGCGGGCCAACATCACGAAACTGACAATAGATCAGAGCTTGGCCCGGAAAGGCGGCTCCGTGTGGTCATGCTCGTACCTGCCAATCGAATGCAAAGGCGATCTCTTCTTCTGGTACTCAAGCTCCATACGGCCAGCTGTGCGCCAGTGCACCTCGTCAGGGCCGTCAGCCCACCGCAAGCAGCGGGCCCCAACGAACGCCATTGGAAGAAACGTGTCCTGGGAGATGCCCAGGCCGCCATGCACCTGCATTGATCGATCAATGACCTTCTGGGCCATCATGGGAACCACAGCCTTCACGATACTGAGCATCTTCCTTGTGTCATGATCAGTGTTGCCGAGCTTGTCCATCCTGTCGGCTGCCTCCCGAACAAGAAGGCGTGCCTGGTCGATCTCCGCCCGACTCTCAGCAATTTGCTGAATGATGCTGCCCATCTTCGAGAGCTGCGATCCAAAAGCGCTGCGCTCTTCGGCGCGCTGGCACATGAGGCTCAGCGCGCGCTCGGACTGACCGATCAACCGCATGCAATGGTGGATGCGACCTGGTCCGAGCCGAAGCTGCGCGATCTCGAAGCCTCGGCCCTCGCCTAAGATGATGTTGGACACCGGGACACGTACGTCTTCGAACAGCATCTCCATGTGGCCCTTGGGGCAATCGTCATCGCCCATTGTTCGCATCGGCCGAACCAGTGTGATACCAGGGGTGTTCATTGGGACCAATATCTGCGACTGCTGACCGTACCACTTCCCCTCAGAGCTCGTACGACCCATCACGATCAAGACTTTACAATCCTGGTTGGCGGCGCCTGTGATCCAGTGTTTCCTTCCATTGATGACGTACTCATCTCCCTCACGGGTAATGCTGGTCCTAATCCGCCATCGTGCCGCAAGCACTAAGTGGAATGTCCTCAGGCCCTTCGAATATCATGCGTGGGGTATCTCAAGGAGCCCAGAGCTCCGAGCTCTGAGCGCTCTCGGGCGCTTTTGGCCCAAGACGCCCCGAGATGACCCCAAGATGGTCCAAGGGGTTTCAAAATGGCCCCAAGACGGCCCAGGAGGCCCCCAGAACGGAGAACCCGAAATGACATTTGGAGCCCTTCCTCCCGGCATTGCACCCGAGACAATCAGCAAGCTCCCGCGATGCCCCAAGAAGCCCCCAGAGGACCTTAAGAGGCCCCCGGTAGGCTCCCAAGACGCCCCCAAGAGGCCTGAAAGAGGCCCCCATGGCATTCCCATAGACCCCGACAGGCATCCGCGGCGCCTCTGATCCACGACCCGAGCATGGTAGCGTGCTGGGCCGACGACCACTCGAACCGCCTCCCGTAGCCTGTGGAAGGTTGTTGGCGTGCCGAGGTTTAGAACCCCTCCTGGTCCTTCCCGAAAAAAGTCCGCTGGGCTTCGGCCACTCTTGCAGACTCCGCGGAAACGCAGCATCCATGGGCTTCTACGTCCAAGATGTCTCCAAGATTGCCCAGATGACCCAACATGGCCTCCAGTACTGCAAAGGTGACCCTGTCTGGCCTCCAATACTGTTCAATATGGCCTCAACGGCGGCCAAGCTGGCCCCACGACGGCCCAAGATGGCTCCAAGACTGCTCAAGATAGCCCCCAAGGGGGTTTGAGAGGCCCTGAATATGCGAACATCGCGAAAGCCATGAGGTTTTCGAAGTTTTCAAGGGTTTTTGCAGTCTTGCGTTTGTGGGGAATTCGCACGCCCAAGACTGCCCTAGAGGCCTCCAATATCGCACCAATACGGCTCAAGACGGGCCCCAGGACGGCCCCACTAGGTACAAGATAGCCTCCAGGACTGCCCAAGATGGGTTCAAAGACGGTCCAACACATCCTCCAAGACGGCCCAAATGGCCCCACGTCGGCCCTAGACGGCCCCAACACGGCCCCAGATGCCCCCAAGAGGCCCCAGGATGCCCCAAGAGAGGTCCCCCCCCTCCCCCTAAGAGGCCTCCTCCTCCTCCTCCTCCTCCTCCTCCTCTTCCTCTTCCTCTCCCTGCTCATCCTCGCCTCCTACTCCTTCCTGCCCTCCCCCGACAGCTGGGGGAACGCATAATCCAATAGCTTGGTCGAGCTTTGGCCCAACGTTTGGCCACACAGGCTCATCCTTCCAGAAGGGCGGTGGGCGGCGGAGGCTCGCCGCAAGCGTCTTCGATGTTTGTGGCGTCGCTGCTGGCCACCCCTGGCTCCGTCATTGCATAGGCCGATCTGATCGCCCCATCGAGCAGAGGTTCCAGCCACCTCTTCTTCTGTTCCTCGGTGCAGAACCGAGCGAGGACTTCCATGTTCCCCGTGTCAGGGCTGGAGCAGTTGCAGCACTCGGCCGCGAACTCGGCATGGTTCGAGGTACCCATGATTTCGCAGCAGTCTCCGTACTGCAGATTTGTGAGGCCACCGCCTTGGTACCCAGCGAGCTTCGCCGAGTCCACGGGGAGGAATAGATTGAAGAGGCCGCGTGCTTTCGCCTTCTCCTTGAGCTTCTGAACGATGGGCGGCTGGCGCCAATGGGCAGGGCCCTTCTGCCGGATCACCTCAAGCTCCTTGAAGAACGTCATCTCGTTGGGGTAGATTTCAGTCTTCATGAAATCCCACAAGGTCTCCTTGAGCTTCTCAAACGACGGTGCGTCCATTTTTCTGGAACTGCAAGGAGGGAAAAGAACGCAAATGACCAAAATGCTGAGCGATAGCCACTAATGGTAAGCTTGAACCATACCTGCTACGGATTGTGTTCGTGACTACTAATGCGTGCGTGGTGGCGCGTATAAGCATCGTCATTGGCGTTGCCATCGCCATTGCCATTGTTCTTGTATGGTCTCACTCCCCCAGCGTGCTTGCAATTTGAGTCCCACCAGCCCTTTGGGCGTGAGTGGTTTAGAGAGCCCGCTCTGTTCTCAACCCCCTTCTTCCCCTTCGGGGAGGGGTTTACCCCTCCCCCTACCCCCTCCCCGGACCTGGAGAGGGCGGGCCGAGTGGTGGCAAGGGGGTCTTTTTCGACTCCTGGGAGGGCCAAAAAACGACGACCCTCACGAGGATTCTGGTCCCGAGGGGGGGGGGGTAGTTTGGCCCCTCAACTCGTCTTTGAAGCCAAAAACATTGATTTTACGATGGTTTTGGCCCCAGTTTGGCCTTCTGAGGGGGCAGCGCTCCTCGTCCTTCATAGCAAAATCATTGATTTTTACAAAGGTTTTGGGCTCATTTTGTCTTTCTCAGGGGGCAGCTCTCATTTGCGCTTCTGAGGAGGTCGCAAGAGGCCCCAAGATGGCCCCAAGAGGCCTCCAGGAGGCTCCCAAGAGGCCTCCAAGAGGCCCCCAAGAGGCCCCCAAGAGGCCCCAAGAGGCCCCCAAGAGGCCCCCAAGAGGCCCCCAAGAGGCCCCAAGAGGCCCCAAGAGGCCCCCAAGAGGCCCCCAAGAGGCCCCCAAGAGGCCCAAGGCTCCAAGAGGCCCCCAAGAGGCCCCACGAGGAGCCCGAACGACTCACACCAGGACGAGGGGCCCGAACGACTCACACCACGAAGAGCCCGAACGACTCACACCACAAGGAGGGGCCCGAACGACTCACACCAGGACGAGGCGCCCGAACGACTCACACCACGAGGAGCCCGAACGACTCACACCACGACTCACACGACTGTCGGCATGCTTCGCGAGAGTTGCTGCTGTGAGATGGGCTGGTGGGGATACGCGAAGCGTAAAGAATTTCCTAGTTGTACCGATATCTCCTGGAGCCACTGGGCGATGCCGCCGCTGGCTGCCGTACTCTGTGCACCCTCCTCCAACACATACAACGAGATCATACCTGCCTAACCTGTGTGGAAATCTCGACCGGAAGCTGCACTCTGGAATGACTTGTGAGGACGTCTCGAGACGGGACTAGATTCCTGAGTACGCTGGCATGACGTGTATACACCTGGACCCGTACTCCTCAACGCATCATGAGGAAGACTCAGCTGGGATCAGAACGCCTGAACACTTAAAACAATGTGAGCAAGGACAGAGCGCGAGCTCTCTCACTGAACACGTCGTGAGGAGGCTCCGGACGGCAGCCTGTCCCGAATGCTGAGAAGAAATCTACAGCGAGAGCCGTATGCATGAGTACGTTGTGGGAAGGTCTCGAGCGGAACCAGGTTCCTGAATACATTGTGACCGCATTCCGAGTGGGAGTCGCTCTCCCAGCTAGCTGAAGCGATGCCGACCATGATATCAATGCCAGTAGCACTCACGGTTGTGGTAATAGTTTCGCCACTGATCTGAAAGGTATACGGACGTACAACGTTTGTGGTTTAGGCTCTGGCGTCATCATTGATATTCGGATTGAGCTCTTCGTTCCTTCAATCGCAATGTTTGCCGAACACTGTCCAGCCCGCCCGATGTTTCACGCTTCAGCTGCTCCTTGGGTTGACGTTCTGGGAACCTCCCATGTCTCCCGCGACGCCTGCTGATAGCTGTGCTACATTGGCGGCCGAGGCGCCGCCGCCGCACGGCCGCGAAGAGGCGGGCCCAGGCAGGGACGGCGCAGGCACGGGCTGCCCAGGCCCTGCTCAGGGCCTTCAGCGGCCTGGCGCGCTGCGGGTGCCGCTCCCCGCGCGGGGCAGGGCGGCGCCCGGGGCGGCGCGCCATTCCGCGTTCGGCAGGAGCGCTGGGCCGGCGCAGCCGGAAGGCAAGGACGCCCCGCAGCACGGCATGGTGCCCGTGCAGGGCTCGGAGGCGGGCTCGGAGGAGGCCCGCCGTCGCTCGGACGTCCATTCCCCGTGCATTTTCGGGTTTTGCGCGTGATTTTTTGGCCCGGTGGTCGAGGATGCTCCTCGAAGGTGCTCGCCGAGAAAAAAATGCACACGTCCAAGCGATGCCAGGGAGAAGGGCGATGGGGGGGGGGGGGGGGCGCGAGGAAAACGCCCACGCCGATGCGGAGGCCGAGGGGCCGCTGGCCAGCGGGAGGGAGCCTGTGGTGGCACCGCCGACCCGGGCGGGCGCCCGGCGGCGACCTGTACTCCGCGCAATCGGCGACGTCTTCGGGGAGCTCGCGGCCCTCGGATGTGGGCGGTGTGCGCTGCGGAGGCAGGCCGTGTGGAGCTCGCGGAGCTGCTGGATTCCTGCTCGGCCGAGGTCGTCGGCAAAGCCCTCGGTGGTGAACGTGCTGGGCGCCGTGAAGAAGAGGGTTGGCAAGGAGGTCATCGGAGAGGGTCCTGAGGGACGCGCGCCCTGCAGTAAGGTGGAGGGTGAGGCTGGCCAGCGAGGAGGGGGGCCTGACGGCGGCCTGGGGGGCTGCCGAGAGCGGCTGAGCGCGGCGGCGAGTGGCGAAGCGTATCGCTCGCTCTGCGCCACCGTTCGAAACGACCAAAACGTCGCCATCGTTGTCGTTGTCGTTGTCGTTGACGTCGTCGTCGTCGTCGCCGTCCTTGTCGTCGTCGTCGTCGCCGTCGCCGTCGCCGTCCTTGTCGTCGTCGTCGTCGTCGTTGTCGTCGTCGCAGGCGTCGTCGTCGTCGTCGTCGTCGTCGTCGTCGTCGTCGCCGTCGCCGTCCTTGTCGTCGTTGTGACGACGTCAACGGCATATTCGTCGTCGTCGCCGCCGCCGCCGTCACCGTTGTTGTCGTCGACGTCGTCGTCGACGCGGCCGTGGCTGTGGCCGTGACCGTGTCCGTGGCCGTCGCCGTCGCCGTCGCCGTCGCCGGTGCAGTCGCCGTCGCCGTCGCCGTCGCCGTCAGTGTCGACATCGCCGTCGTCGTCGTCGTCGTCGTCGTCGTCGTCGTCGTCGTCGTCGTCGTCGCCGTCGCCGTCGTCGTCGTCGTCGTCGTCGTCGTCGATGTCGTCGTACTCGTCGTCGTCGTCGTCGTCGTCTTCGTCGTCGTCGTCGTCGTCGTCGTAATGGTAGTCATCGACGGCGTCGGTGTCGTCGCCGTCGCCGTCGCCGTCGTCGCCGCCGTCAACGCCACCACCGTCGGCCGCGGCCGTCAACGCCACCATCACCGTCGTTGCCACCGTCTCGTCGTCGTTTTCGCCGCCGTCGTCGCCGTCGTCGTCAGCGTCGTCGTCGGCTGCGTCGTCGTCGTCGTCGTCGTCGTCGTCGTCGTCGTCATCGTCGTAACAAAGTCAACGGCGTTGTCGCCGTCGTCGCTGCGGGCGCCACCGTCGTCCACCGTGGTGTCGTCGTCGTCGTCGTCGCCGCCGTCGTCGTCGTCGTCGTCGTTGCCGTCGTCGTCGTCGTCGTCGTCGTCGTCGTCGTCGTCGTCGTCGCGAACAACATCGTCGTCGTCGTCGCCGTGGCCGTGGCCGTGGCCGTGACCGTGGCCGTCGTCGTCGCCGTCGTCGTCGTCGTCGTCGTCGTCGTCGTCGTTGCCGTCGTCGTCGTCGTCGTCGTCGTCGTCGTCGTCGTCGTCGTCGTCGCGAACAACATCGTCGTCGTCGTCGCCGTGGCCGTGGCCGTGGCCGTGACCGTGGCCGTCGTCGTCGCCGTCGTCGTCGTCGTCGCAAATTAACACCGTCGTCGTCGTCGTCGTCGCTGTCGCCGTCGCCGTGGCCGTGGCCGTTGCCGTCGCCGTCGTCGTCAGCGTCGTCGTCGCCGTCGCCGGCCCCGTCGCCGTCGCCGTCGCCGTCGCCGTCGCCGTCGTCGTCGCCGTGGCCGTCGTCGTCGTCGTCGTCGTCGTCGTCGTCGTCGTCGTCGTCGTCGTCGTCGTCGCCGTGGTCGCCAACGTCGTTACCGTCTCTGTCACCGTCGCCTTCGTCGCCGCCACCGTCGTCGTCGTCGTCGTCGTCGTCGTCGTCGTCGTGGTCGTCGCCGTCGTCAGCGTCGTCGTCAGCGTCGCCGTCGCCGTCGTGATCGTCGTCATCGTCGTTGTTGGTGCCGTCGCCGTCGGCGTCGTCGTCGCCGTCGTCGTCGTCGTCGTCGTCGTCGTTGTCGTGGTCGTCGTCGTCGTCGTCGTGATCAGGAGTCGTTGTCAGCGTCGTCGTCGTCGTCGTCGTCGCCGTCGCCGTTGTCGTCGTCGACAACGTCATCGTCGCCGACAACGTCATCGTCGTCGTCGTCGTCGTCGTCGTCGCCGTCGTCGTCGTCTTCGTCGTCGTCGTCGTCGTCGTCGCCGTCGTCACCAACACCGCCGTCGTCGTCGTCGGCGTGGCCGTCGCCGTCGTCGCCGTCAGCGTCGTTGCCAGCGTCGTCGTCGTCGTCGTCGACGCTGGCGCCGTGGCCTTCGCCGACGCTGACACCGTCGTCGTTCTCGTCGTCGTCGCCGTCGTCGTCGTCAGCGTCACCGTCGTCGTCGTCGTCGTCGTCTGCGTCGTCGTCGTCGTCGTCCTCGTCGTCGTCCTCGTCGTCGTCGACGCTGGCGCCGTGGCCTTCGCCGACGCTGTCGCCGTCCTCGTTCTCGTCGTCGTCGCCGTGGTCGTCGCCGTCGCCGTCGTCGTCGTCGTCGTCGTCGTCGTCGTCGTCGTCGTCGTCGTCGTCGTCGTCGTCAGCGTCGTCGTCGTCGTCGACGACGCCACCGTCGTCGTCGTCGTCGTCGCCACCGCTACCGTCGTCGTCGCCGTCAACGTCGTCGCCGTCGAAAACGTCGCCGTCGTCGTCGCCGTCGTCGTCCTCGTCGTCGTCGTGGTCGTCGTCGCCGTCGTCGTCGTCGTCGCCGTCGTCGTCGCCGTCG